CAGATCCATTTTGGAAGAAGTGTAGCCAGAGTGCTCCTTAGAGGCCAGGATGGCCAAGCTTTGTCTCTCATACTTTGGACATATTGTCAGGAGGGACCAATTGCTGGAGAAAGACATCATGTTTGGTAAGGTGGAGGGTTAGAGAAAAAGAGGAAGACCCCCAACGAGATGGATTGGCCCAGTGGCAGCATCAATGGACTCAAGCGTGGCAGCGGTGGTGAGGTTGGCCCAGGATCGGGCAGTGCTTAGTTCTGTGCATAAGGTCGCTATGGGTCGGTACTGACGATGACACCTGACAAGAGTAATAACAACTTAGAAAAAGTTTGACAGTTTTTTATAACCTGAAACACACACTTGCCATGTAATCTAACCATCATACTACTTGGTTTATCCCTATAGCCATACAAAGACGTGTGTGGATGTTCACAGCAGTACCACTAAGCATGCCTACAACCCAAATGTCCTTCAGCAGATGAAAGGGTAGACCATTGTGACGTTTCCTTACTATGGAAAACTCAGCAATAAGAAAGGAATGAACTGTTGTTACACAAAGCATGAATGAATCTCAAAATGGTCATGCTACGTAGAAGTAGCCAGACACAAATGACTACATAGGATTTTGTTTATATGAAAATTCTAAAAGACTCGGAGACAGATTAGTTGCCAGCTGGTGTTGGTGGGAGGAAACAGAGCAAAGAGGAAACTCAGGTGATGTTAGAGGTTGGATATCTTTTTGATTGAGGGGTTGTTACACTTAAAGAGTGGAGGTTATACCTCAAAGGTATGAGAAAAACGTGATACATGTAATCATTTGAACTACATTCGTATGTCAACAGCATAGGCATGCATGGGTAAAAGATTTTTAGGCTTGGTATTTATGCTCAAGACAGTTTACTAGACCATGATTTTTACTGAGATGGTCCTGGTACAGTGCTGTAGGATAAGCACTGGACCACAAGGTCAGTTTGAACAGCAAGGTCAGCAGTTTAAACTCACCAGCTGCTCCTCAGAAACCCTATACAGGGTTGTTACAAGCTGGAACCCAATCGATGGCACTTAGCAATAATAACTCTAGTTTCAGATTAGTTGTGCTTAAAATCCAGGAATTCAAATTGTTTCATTCTGTCTTGACACATCCCCACCCCCACTGAGAATTTGCCT